CCATTTTTTAGAGTTTGTAGTACTAACTTTTTTTTTTTTATAATTTGTCTCACAATGTAATTGAAACTGACAATTTGTCTCTTCGATTAAAAACCCTAATATAGTACAAAATAGTTTTAACTCAATTAATGACAAATATTAATTTAATCTTTAAAATTGATTTAGGGCTTTTAAAACCCATGGCGAGACGAACAAAATGAGGTATGACTTGATCAGTTTACAATTTTCGTGGATCGATTATAGAGGTGTCTGAAATTTCGTGGATCGGTTATAGAGGTGTCAATTTTCAGAATTCAACAAACTATACCTCATTTTGTTCGTCTCGTCATAGGCTTTAAAAGCTTAGATCAATTTTAAAGATTAATTTAAAAATTGTCATTAATTGAGTTAAAAATTCTTTTGTATCATATTAGAACTTTTAATCGATGAGACAAATTGTCAGTTTCGATTACATAGATGAGACAAATTGTCAGTTTCGATTACATAAAGAGACAAATTGTCGTATGACAAGCTTTAAAAAATGGCATACTTTTGTGTGGTTAAAAAAAAAATCCCGTAAGAAATCAAGAATGATGTTGTTTGATTTCATATTTTTTCACAAAGTGCTTGATTTTCTTAATTAAACACTGCACACGATTCAATTATGCAATAAATATTATGTGATTGCTAGTGATTCATTTAAGTATTATATTTTTGTTACATGATAATTTTTTTGTTTTTGGTACAGGGACTTTCCAGTTTTGTGCGGTAACGCTGCATATAGCACAAAACCATAATAACGTGCGTATTAAGGGAGGTAAATAATAACGTGCGTATTAAGGGAGGTAAGTGAGAAATTAGTCAACAGTGAAAATGGAAATTTCAAAAGTGGAAGTTGCATAGACGTTGTACAAATTACAATTCAGTCAGCGTGTTTCTAGACGAAGCCTTTGACTTGACCTTGCCCAATCATTTTGACTTTTCCATTTGCGAAATATTAAAGTCCTTTAGGAATATGTGAGGTGGTTTGCTTGTTTGGATGTTAGTGTGTTTGTGGAATATAACTATGAGGAAGTGTTATATTTCGTTACAGACCCATTCTGTCAGAATTTGTAACCGTTAAATCATAAAGTAACATCTAACGATTACAAACTCCGACGAAAAGGACCGTAGAATCTCCCATGACTAAGACACTAAGTTTTAGTGTTTGTCTCAACGCTTGCATGCCAGCCATGTTCAATTACATGTACTTGTCTTATGTTATGTACTGAGAATCCTCCAACCGAAGACAAAAGGCAAAAAAATGGGGGAAACTCTCCAATCGAATGGCAAACTCAAACTCAAAATGGGTTTTTGAAATTGTATGTACTTTTGAAATTGCAATTTAGTCCTTCCATTTACTTAAATTATACTACATCTTTATTTTAACAAACGAGGAGTGCTGGTGTCACTCCACTTTAGGTTTTTGATGACATGTTTTGTTTTATTTAATTATAAATCTACTTATTTCTAATTTAGTTTTTGTTTTGGTTGAGGTCTGAAATTTATGGATTTCAAATGTTTAAAAGTTCAAATCTCTGTATATGTTCAGATGATAATATCAATTTGAAGGATTCCAAATCCACACTAAAGGTCATTAATTTGACGAATTGGATAACTAATAAAAATCTAGTCATTTTGAATCCACTTTTTATCCCGACATTGCAACCACAACGCCATCCACGAGTATGCGAGATCAATCACCACCACAAGCAACACTGTCGGAAACAATTGATTATTTAAAATAAAAAAGAAGTGGACAAAAATAAAAAAAAAATAAAAAAAAAATTGTGTGGACAAAAATCAAACACACGTATTCTATACTTGTGTTTGATTTTTGTCCACACAATTTTTTTTTAATAATTTTTGTCTACTTAGTTTTTTTTTAAATAAATAACCCACCCAACACTGTCGTCGTGAACTACATAACGAATATTACAATTATCCATAAATTTATACACAAGTAGATTAAAGTAGCAAATTTGGGTTTCAAAGAGTTTAGAATCAAGAAACTTCAAATACATCAGTAAATAACTATTTCTTGATCTTGTTTAGCTGCCACCTCAAAATGTATACCGTAGTTGTTTTGAGGCACTAAGATAGTTGTTTAGGCTATTTTTATTAAATCCAGTTGATAAAATTAGTTGGTTGATAAGTGAATTTTGAGTTTGATAGCTTATCATTTATAACTGAAAAACTTGCTTATATGGTAAAAATATCTGGTAAAATTAACCGAAATTAGTTTCAATAAAAGTTTCAACGTGCTTATTTAAAAAGTTACCTCAAAAAATTATGAGATAAACTCGAACTTTTTAAAAAAGTTTGCCTACCGAACTAATCTTATTTGAATATATAAAATTTATAAACTAATCAAATAAACTATACTACCGTAATGTACATTAGCTAAAACCTTGTTATCACTACGGTATTCTTATTATTAAGATTTACGATGTAGCCCAATAATTGCAATTGTTATTCACTTGAGTCACAACACACAATTTAAAACAAAATCTCCAGGAAAAACTAATTCCATCTCTCTTCTGACCACAAAACATTTGATCTTCTCCTACTGAACATCATTAGCCTCATAATCCAAAGCATCCTCAAAAATATCTCCATCAGCATCACTGTCTTCCTCGAGC